ACAGTTCGATCTGCGTGTTGCCAATTTTCCCGCGATTTTTCGTTTTTTTTGCCGGGGACATCCGGAAAAACGCCCACCCCTTCTTTTTGGCAATTTTCCATGTTCAAGACCCTGGGCTTATACCCAGATAAATACGGTAATAATAATAATAATAATGAATTTATTGCATCCTTAGAAATAATTTCCATTGGTTGACAGCAATAAAATGTTAGTAATAAAGTACAATACATATTATAAAACTAAAGTAATAGTAAAATGTCAGTTATTGTTATTTCCGATTTCAAATATTTTGTAAAGTATTCGCCGACTTGAGCAGCTGAAAATACACTTCCAGTCAATGGATGGCCCCATTTTATATGCTGTTTTACAAATTATGCAAAGTGAGACACCTCATTCATGGCAAAACATCTCCTCAAGGCTAAGACGATCGATTTCTGACAACAGACTGATTATAGTTAAACTCTAAAATTTGTTTGGATTCACTCTGAAGTAAATTCACAAATAATGCCATCTTTAAATTCTACTCAACTTCACGCATTTCTACGCTCTATGGTTGCATCATTTTAAATGCCTGTTATGTATTATTATTGAATGATGATGGATTGCAACCAGTAAGAATGATAGTAAGATAGTAGCTGTAAGGACTTGCATGTTGCTCATTGGACAATTTTGATTAAGGGTGGACTACTATTTCTGAGAAGGGGGGTAGAATAAGACAACAAAATTGTGCAAAAAAATCATAGAACTTAGAGGAAAATCTACATGAAATACAGTCTTCTACCCACTCTCTGATTGAATATTTACCATTATAAAACGAAAATGTAGAAAATTCTAGTCAGGCCACCCCCAGCAAAACAATGTTCCGCCCCTTGGTGAAACGTCTTCACGTTGGCATCGGCGGTCACAATTAATACATGTGGTAAAGAGAATTTAACTTGGCCACTATTTAGCAGACGCGTATAACACTGATTCAAAATGCTACGTTGACTAAGCACACAAATTACAATAAATAACAATAATTTAAATTAAATTACAATATTATTATTGAATGATGATGGATTGCAACCAGTAAGAATGATAGTAAGATAGTAGCTGTAAGGACTTGCATGTTGCTCATTGGACAATTTTGATTAAGGGTGGACTACTATTTCTGAGAAGGGGGGTAGAATAAGACAACAAAATTGTGCAAAAAAATCATAGAACTTAGAGGAAAATCTACATGAAATACAGTCTTCTACCCACTCTCTGATTGAATATTTACCATTATAAAACGAAAATGTAGAAAATTCTAGTCAGGCCACCCCCAGCAAAACAATGTTCCGCCCCTTGGTGAAACGTCTTCACGTTGGCATCGGCGGTCACAATTAATACATGTGGTAAAGAGAATTTAACTTGGCCACTATTTAGCAGACGCGTATAACACTGATTCAAAATGCTACGTTGACTAAGCACACAAATTACAATAAATAACAATAATTTAAATTAAATTACAATATTTTTAAAATTAAAATAACAATATTTTCATTACTAACTAGTTAGCGTATTGAAAATAAAATTAGAAGTTCTCACCCGAATCAACGTTTACACTATACACTGGCAGAGGATCGAGGGATAGTTTATAGCCATCGAAATTTGCGTCTAATTGGTCACGATCAACACGAAACGTTTCTGTGCAAGTCGCCATATTGCTGAGCCGCGTTGCAACTTGGGTAAGTTCAAGCCTCGTTTTAAAAATGAAAACGAAGGTCATGGTAGAAACGACTTTTTCAGCGGGGGTTTGCGATATATGCAAGATATACTAAAATTAGATTTGTTATTAGAATAGTGTAATGATTCATTTGCAGTTAAATATATAGTACTAAGGCAAATAAGTTAGGATAAAAACAAATATCTTTGCAAACACTTCAGGTTTATGCGCTGTCTTTAATGGTATGACCCAAATGGAGGTCCGGGATTTCCCGGAATTGGCACTTCCGCGTTTGTTACAGTGACAAGAGCTGTAGGTTGCGAAGAGCCTTAGAGGTATGTTTTTTTTTATGCAATCGCCACCGGTACGACAGTGTTTCGAATGGTTTATGCGGCCGACTCGCTGTTTTTGATTAATAAGTTGGCTAGATGTCTAAAAATACGCAAAGACTGTCACTTTCCAGGGGAAAAGTACACGTGCCGTACAAGGCTAGTGACCCCGTTATAAATTGAACCTCGGGAACTGAGAAAATACGTTCGGTTTAAAGAGGTGTTACTGTTATACTGCAAGTATATAGAGTAGGTACAACAACAAGTAGGAGTAACAACGTTAGATAAGTTTAGTACTTCCGTGTTTCATAAAGCTTTACGAATATAATCACAGGTTTTTTTCCAATCTGTGTCATGACTCACCCAACCTACACTGGATTGATAATTGAAACCCTGAGACCTGTAGAATATATTTAGTAATACGTTTTAATATTATATCATGACATTTTATTTATCAGATGGAGTTTCAACTACTTTGCCATCTACTTTGAACGTTTTGTTCTAAGAGACTTCAGTCCAACAGAAAGGTGCATGGTCTTGGATTTTACATATATTTAGTAGCAATTGTGGATAGATTTTCAACCAATTGACATGGCTGCTAAAGATTCATCAACTCTGACTGGTGAGGGTTTGTACGTCATAGACATTGACAAAGTAACAAATGAAGAATACCTTGACAAGGGCAGTTTTGGTATGGTGTATAAAGCATTACATGACGACTGGGGAGAAGTGGTGGTGAAGCGAATTTTTGAAAATACTGACGTCAGTGAAAGGTGAGTTGGCGAATTAATTGCAGCTCGCTAAACTATATATATTGTCACACGTTTATGTACAAAAATATTTACTGTAACCACGGTTACTAGAACTGTGCTGTAACACGGTGAAAACCTTATAAAGTAACATTCTCAACATTAGAAAATTTGCATATAATAACAAAGTTAATAAAGTTTCATATGATCAACACTGTTCCTATACTCCCAATATACCAACACCCAATGATAAAGGTGAAAAAAACTACTATAGACAGTCCTTTTTTCTTTTTTTACAATGTAAATTCGTCTTCAGAATAATTTAGACCCATTCAGAAATTCAAAATAACACAACTGCAAATGCTTCAACCATACTCAAGAGATTATGACACATGGTCAAACAATTTACCAATGAAATTCATTCTTTTCTATTATTGTTCACTCGGGAAATTGTACGATCTTTATTATTTTTTCCTGCCACATGAATTTAGATATGTTTATGTCGTGAGTAAAAGATTGAAATTCACTGGTATGGTCATTCCAAGTAGTTTGAAGGATCAAGTCATGAAACGGTTTTGAGCTTTCATGGTGATGAATGTTTTCTTTTCATATTTTTCGGAGAAATTTTTACTGTGGTTTGAAGTTGCTCCACTATTTTTCGCCACCCAAATCACATCACTATTTGACAGATTGTCGGTAAACACACATTGATTGGACTGTGGTAATAACTAAACTGTATTTGCACCATTCTCGTAGACAAATTCAAGAGTCAAAAACATTTTGAAATCGCTATGAGTTGTCATTTATTAGATGAACAGTGATTCAGAATTCATGCGAAATCCAGAGAACAAATGCAATAAATTTTGCAGGATGTTTAACGATAGTTTCTGTGGATCGGGTTTTTTGACATAATTTCATTTAGCATTAAAAATAGCAGCATCAACTTTTGTTTGTTTACACAAAATTTCAGTGCTTTGTGTGACAAACTGTAGTGCTGTAACTGGTGTTGAAATCGGCAGTTGTTCTGGACAATCCTTTTTGTCATGGGGCAACCGCATATGAAAACTGGTTGCCATTTTGGACAACCATAAAAATAAATTACATACAGAAATTATATAACATAATACGATGTTGTATGTTATAATTGCCAAAAATTATCCCGGTTTTAATTGGTGAAAAGTGGCTTAAATTGTTATTGTTCAGTTTTGGGTAAAACACCTAAGCCGTATTAGACAACTATTCTTTCGTGTGGACAACCAGTTTCTCAGTGGTTTTCCTACTGCACAACCAGGAATATATTTTTTTTTTACCATTTTGATTTGTACAGGTAATCACATGAGTAAAAGTGCATTTATGATTTTAAAAACCTTGGTTGTGGTCATGCATCTTGTGGGCGCAGGGGGCAAACTAAATAATAATACACGTAGTTGAGGAAGGATGTGTCTCTTGACAAAGTAAAGTCTGATCAAATCACAGACTACATGAAAACTTAGTGTAATTTTAAAAGTTATGTGAGAATAATTCAATACCAGTTTACAAATTAAGTGAGATTTTTAATTATAGCAGTTTACAATCTGCATATGAATACAACTGTAGTAGTTTACAATCTGCATATGAACACAACCATAGCAGTTTACAATCTGCATATGAATACAACTGTAGCAGTTTACAATCTGCATATGAACACAACTGTAGCAGTTTACAATCTGCATATGAACACAACCATAGTAGTTTACAATCTGCATATGAATACAACTGTAGCAGTTTACAATCTGCATATGAACACAACCATAGCAGTTTACAATCTGCATATGAACACAACCATAGCAGTTTACAATCTGCATATGAATACAATTGTAGCAGTTTACTGGTAACATTCTGATATATTTATTAATATCTCCCAAAGATAAAAATGGCTACACATAACAAAATATAAACACAAATATGAAGTTGATCGCAGGTATATATTTATGTTTCCCATCTTGTATTAATTAAATAATGCTTTGTCTTTGCAGTGAACGTAAAGAAATGGTGGAAGAAGCCAAGAAAATGAGCGAAGTCCGCAGCGCACACATTGTGATGTTATATGGTGTTATTGCTCATCCCTCACAATACTCCTTAGTGATAGAATACATGTGTTATGGTTCCTTGAACAATTTCCAGTCCAAGTACAGGATCCCTTGGGCATTGAAAGCTCAGATGGTCCACCATATTATTCTTGGAATGAATTACCTTCACAAGACTGCCAAGATTGTACATCGAGATTTGAAAATAGATAACGTGTTGGTTGGGAAAGGATTTCAAGTCAAGGTGAGTGGGGCTGTAAAACCATAGTACTCACAGAGGATAAGAGTGTGTGTGAAGTGAGATGCTATTCAAAACTTACACTATTAATATTTCAATATCTGAATTAATTTTCATTATCTCAGTAAACCTTTAAAATCTATCGATTATGAAAAAATTATACTTAGGTTCAGGAGATCTTTTAATAATGAGATCAAGGTTATATAATTAGTGTACTAGTATACTAGTATTGGTGTGATGTGCAGTAAGGATCTCACAAGAATTAAAGAAGTCATGTAAATTCAGAGATGATGACAAAATTGCATGACAATCATATATTGTTAAAAATCTAATGCAAATGTCTGAAAGACCTGGTTACGGTAGTATTCATTTTAAGCTATCATGATTGTGTCCTTGCTTATCCACCCAGTGTGTATCACATATGTAGAGTTTTTTTAATACGGATTTAATTCCCAATCAAACTTTTCCAACTGTGTTCGCAGCATTCTGTGATGCCATTGGTTAGAAATACATCATTCATTACATATCCTGCATATATAGAGTTGTATTCCCTTATCTTATCAATCATTGGTGTGAACAAAAACACAATACTTGTTATGTACAATGACCCCTCGCTAAGTAGTGGCCGCCGGGTGTCGTGATCTAAGCAAAAATTGATTTACCAAGGGTCGCGACTTACCATGAGGCATCATGAAAGTGGGGTTCATGCATTTGAAATGGATAAAAACAACATATACACATATACATTCATTTATAGCACAGCTTTATCGATATTATCATTGTAGGATAATTTCGCACGTTTTCTGTTCAGTCAGTTATTCTTGGTCAACTTAAAAAACAAAATTTTCTCAGCTTTTCTTCATTCTTACCTACCCATGTATAGTGGATTTACCGACTGCTAGATAACGTGCAACCCTTAATTTGATTTCACCTTTATTGAAACAATCGACTGAGTTTTTTTACGTACGGACAGTTATATCAAAGTAAACCAGCTGAGAAGTATGCAAAGTACCAATAGTCAGGCCACCATCACCCTTTGTATCTCAGTGATTGACGGACAGTAGATGTTAAGTTGTATCCTCCAGCCCTATAAACTACCATTTAAATATACAATTTTTTTATAATGATGCTATCACCTTGTCTTACAGGTTGCTGATTTCGGTTTAGCTGTTTGGAGAACGTACTCAAGAAAATATGTGAAGAAAAGATCAAGGCGTTCAAAGGGTACATCTGGAGCGGGTACCATAACACACATACCACCGGAACATTTGAAAAATGTGAACCTACGAACGGAATTTACATTTGATGTCTACAGGTAAAACAAAAAAAACGCATCAACGTCATTTACATAGAACAGCGGTAGATTGCCTAAAACTGTTCTATTTTCATCATCATGGATACTTGTGCTTTATATATATCTAGGATTAGTGATACGTGTAACTCAACACATTTCTATATCCATGAGACTTTTTTTTAGTGAAGCAACTGCTGACATAATATTTAACATGAAGCTGACCAATCAAAATACATTTTGTCAGTCTGTATAGGACCTAAAACATAAAAATTCCACATATTTGCTGTTTTGAAGCTTAAAAAACAAAGTTAGAAACACACAGTGGTTACCATAAACTTAGGTGACTGCAGTGTGTATCTATTCTTCTCTATTAATTATTGTGTATTGCCAAAATTAGAAACTTTTTATAAAGTTTTTTTTTCTGCGTTAATTCTCCATTACAGCTGTTGTGTGCACATTTTGGATGTAAAATTAAAATATTTTACAGCCTGTGCGCATGAATTCCTGTTAATATGACCTTTGATCAGATCAATCAATCATACATACTAATCAATCAGTCATTTAATCAATCGTTCAATCTAAAACATCAATTAATCATTTGATCTATCAATACATACCCATACATTTATTTATTCCATATCAGAGTCAGATTACCAATGTGCATTTATGTATGTGTGTCTCAAAACAGCGTTTGCGGCCGCAGTTGAGACTCGCCAAAGTGTTAGCAAAGGTGCTTTGTGACCTTAGACAAGGCAATGTGATGTAAGGTGGGATCTTGGCCAAGGTTTATTTTGGCATGTTTGGCATGTAAATTTGTAATGATATTAGTGAATATGTAACTCAAAAGTGGTATCTTCTTGTGGTTACAATAAGTCAAAAGTATTTTGTTCAATCATCTCCATACTTGAAAAACTTGGAAACCTTGCCATTTTCACTGCCTGCCAATAATCATGGTGAAAACAAAAGCCTAAAACTCGCAGAAAACTGTACTTTGGGATAGTTGTTGAGACTGTCCTGAACAGTGTAACAAGATTACCCCTACATATTTTAATTTGGGCGCGAAATTAACAACTTTTCTTGGATGCTTACTAGACTAGCAGCTTAAATGTAGTCACATAGTAGAATACTTTATTTTCGCTTGGAATTTATTTTCGCCATTTTCGCTGAAGGGATGATTCCGTGAAAATAAAATCCAGCGAATATACTTTTTTTCCTATATTTCACATTAAACTCGTCAAAAACCAGTGAAAATAATTTCCATACAAAACGCCCAAAAAGCCTTTTCAGCGAAAATTAATTCCAGCGAAAATAAAGTATTCCACAGTATTTGGTATTCTAGCATTTTTACTATGTAATTAGAGCCAAACTAGAAAGTGTGAACATAAATAATTAATTGCTCAATTTGTGTAAAATATCCTGCTCTTTAAAGCCATACAGGTTTACTTAAAATCAAATTGTAATTATTGTAAATTTCTATAGTAGTTTAATTCGGAACAGATTTTAAAAAATTTTAATCCTATCGGTAGTACAAAAGTCCATGTGCCTTGAGCTACTGTTTATTTCAAGCCTTGAGCAGTGTCTATCCTGTTTTCGTATTCGTTATTTAATTTTAACCATTTGCCAGCCTCATGCTATTTTACATCGACTTGATTTTAAATTAAAATCTAGATTCTCAATTGCCAAAGTTGTAATAGTTATACTATGTTTGATATGATGAAGTACCAGGGTAGTTACTACGGAATATTACAAATAATTGATTGATTTTAGATATTCCAGGAGTTGATGTACCAATGCACTGTATGGAAACCATATCAAATGTACAATAACTGTTGTAACTTTTATTTTTTCTTCACAGTTTTGGAATTACACTGTGGGAAATGTTTACTGAACATATTCCATATAGAAGTAAGTTCACACTGTTAAATATTAACTCCATGTTGTATTATCACTTGATGTATAGTTGAATTGGTACGAGAGTGTTTTGGGATAATCTGCAAACCCCGTCAGTTTTGGGAGTAAAACTATATTCATGCATTAATAATTACTTGATTTCATTATATTTAGATTTTCTTTAATGTATTTTAATAACAGCTTGTACTTTCAATGATATGTGTTTTTGGATAATTCATAGGGCTGCATATATAACTTTGGTCCAGTTCTGTGCATAATAAACAATTAATTTGCATTATAATTAGCTAAATTATTTTTTTATCTAGTTTTAAATAGAAAGGGATTTTGATAAAATTCATTACAGTGGTACATTGATTTACTGTAAAAGGGTTAATTATTCACTGGGTTTTAATTTTGCTTATTTCGCTGACTGGAAAATGCGCTAAATTAAAACCCAGTGAATATGTAAAATTTAGCATAGAACATGTTATCTAAATTATAAAACCGTGAATTTAAAATCCACTGAATATGCCTGAAATGGAAAATCAGCGAAATTTATATAAGGTGCATTATTTTTAGTAAAGATTTGGAATATTGAATTAACATATTCCTGTAATTTGAGAACCATTACTGATTGTGCCAGTGTTTGCAGTGTATGATAATGTGTCTTCTCCATGTGATATGCTATTTCTTGTGGTATTGTAATTTAGATGCTATAAACTCCGCTCACATCTTCAATGCTATTGAGAATGGTCAGCGTCCAGATATAGAATTGGTTCCGTCTGAGTGTCCAGAATTCTTGAAACAAATGATGGAAGATTGTTGGCATGGCGACCCAGTAAGAAGACCATCATTCGGAGGTGAGAAACTTCACGTTTGGCACCTAATCGCCTAGCTTCACCTCACGTCACACCTTCCTCCTGGCCTTCAATATCGATAATTACACCAGTACATGCTATCTTTACACGACAGCATTTTATTGGAGCCCAACGACTCAAGCCAGGTAAAATGGCTGTGTATACGTGATTGACTCGAGCCAAATTCAGCTCCAATAAACCCTTGGTGTTGAACTCTGATAGGGTTGAGCCTTGACATGGCTACGACTGTGTATATTCATCAGGGAACAGCTGTCAGAGCCGAAATCACACCCTCAATTGTCTTCCTCAAGTAACCTCTCATTTCAATTATGGCGGAGACAACTTGGTTTGTAATTTCACATAATTTCTAGCTTGATGAAGAGGTACGCGCCTTAACCTAACAAAATCATTTTCAACCATGTCATTTTCATACTAAGTATTTAAGGGCACTGCTCGGCTCTGATCAAACTAAATTGAACTCTGGCAGATCTTGGCTCTCGAGATGTTCCATACAATGTATCAATATCATTATGCAAATAACTAAACTAAACGTCATAGCCTCAAATCATTACATTCCTTTCCCCTTATAGAGGATGAAAACTCGGTTTTAAAAACTTTGAAATACACTTGAAAATACTTAGAACTCAATAATAACAAGTTAAATATATAACCATAAACACCAGCAAACAATTTTAAAATATGGCTGTGCTGCAGTACCTGGATAAACTTAATATTGCCATTTTCGACCCCTTTTTTATGTTGGAAATTTATCTGGTACCATTTCAGGGTTAAACTCCAACGCATCAGTCTACGATTTCGTTCGCGCAATTGATTCAAACAATTTTAAAGGATGATGGTCACTCTGAACAGTAAATGCTCTACCATACAAATATGGGTATAATGCTTCCACTGCCCAAACAATGACCAAACATTCCTTCTCGATAGTCGCATACTTCATTTCACGAGGCAACAACTTCCTACTGATGTATACTATGGGATGTTCTTCTCCAATTCTAAATCCCGCAACTTCATTTCCACTTCATGTTTTCTCTTTAGCTCCTCGGAAATCCTTAAAGCTTCCATTTTTTCCATTTCTAGCTTCTGTTTAAGCATAACCATCTGTAATTCATATTCACGCTCTTCACCTCACATAGCAAATGTTACAGCATTATAAACAGCATTGATTAGTGAACATAAACTGCATGTGACTCATTTTTACATATTTTTACATATTTTACACATTTCATGTGTTTTTTATAGCCTTGAAGATCACTATAGAAGCTAAATGGAAAGCAGAGTTCGCTAGCAAAATACATGATGCTGAAATGGATGTTCAAAATCAAATTAAGGTAAACGATATAAATAATGAGTCGTATTAGATTGTTAAATAAATTGTGCTCCTTCACTATGTCTTCTTTTTGATGCATACAAATGTAATTTATCCAGAATTTGAAATCGTGGAATGATTTAATTGTAAGCTTGATGATTGAACCCACGATTTGTTTGCTCTGTGGCAAATTACATTGATGACATTCAGCTATGTTGCAACATGGCGAATTCACGATTCGTTTTGAAATCAAATCAAAGATGGTCGACTGGCAGCCACTTAGTTTTTTGAAAATGTGGTATTTTATGCATGCTTTGTCAGTTTTGCATGTAAGTAGCAAAACATGTCCATAACAATTCAGTTTGTGAACAGATAAAACAACAGATCTGCAGCCATCTTGCTTTTTGGCCATAATACTTTATCTTAGGCAGGAATAACATTTCCCCTAATTGCAACGGGGACTATGTCATTAACAATGACTTGTTTTTTAATAATAATAATTCATTTGATTATCGGTACTTTACCAGGCCTTTGGCACATACACAAAGTGAAAAACCTATTTCTGAAGGTCACTCTGGTATGATTAGTTTCTTTGTGTGCACTTTCTCTTCCAGATCAGGAAACTAAAACTGGAAGGAACAACGTCTACAGGCAAAGGTGTTTACCAACCTGAGGATGGTGATCAAATGAAATCATTAACAAGTAAAATGACTAAAGTTTCGTTTGCAACACCAATTAGAACAGAGGAAGGAGATCTTGCTGAAGATGGTGATCCAAAGAACAATAGTAAATCAGGTGAGTTGAAGATATTGATTTGATTTGATTTGATGTAAGTGATAAGACTATACAACTTAAGTTATCTATGATTACACTAAAGAATTTGCATGAATTGAATCTGTTTCCAATCAATAACATCACGCACAATAATTTGATTGCATAAATGAAATAATTAGCGTAGCATAAACGCTATATACTGATGTTGTATATAAAATCACTTTGAAAAAGATGCATCCCGGCCTCCCGAGGGTGCCATCTATTGAAATCTAGTTTCGTCAAGCGAACCTCAGTGATTACAATGCAAGATGACAACTTTATTTTGATCCCTTAGGGACTAAGTCTCTGTCTGATGACCTCTCACTGAAAATTTAGTGTGTTATTTCCCATAATAGTGTGTGATGTGCATTATCATATCATTTTCTATGGTTCCCATCGCACGACTATTTTTAACAAAACTACTGGATACTTAGTTTTCACATCGCATTTCACATGACAGCCTTTTGTAGGTTGAGCTTGTCCATGCAATTGTGTCTAAAACAATATTTTGGTAGGATTTGGTCATATTTATGTGGTTATATTTGAACCAAAACAATGTCAAAATTTAAGCTATTGTCACTTTAAGTTTCTTTTCTTCTGTATTATTGTTCATAGCAATTACAAATTTGTTGAATTTTTTGAATTAATCAGTAAAATTAATTAACCAATTAATTAACACACAAGAGCATTTTTGCATCATGTCTGGTTGTGTGAGGAAGGTTACAAATATTAAAGTAGTTGTGAAAGGGTTAAACATGCTCAATCACTACCAATATTTGTTTTCTAGATTCTAAATCATCCGATATGTCATATCGTGATCCAGTCCCAGAAACTCAACCCAAAGGTTCGTATCGACCATTTAGTCAGAAGCCTGCTACTGACGCCGTTGCTGAGGGAAAAGATCAGAAGTCACAAGGTATTGCCAGCCAGATTAAATATGAATTCACTGTTTAGCTTGCCCATAATAATGCAGTCTATTGTAAGGTTAATCGCTTTTGAAGAGAAATTTTCTGTTAACTGTTAACTCTTTTTTTCTCGTGCATGTGTTGACTGAGCTCTTTTTAAACACGTATTGTTGTCACAGATTTTATGTTTTTGAGATCAAGATGACTATTTTGTTTTGTTTTCCACTGTGCCTTGGGATTTAAAGCTACTGTGTCTAACTTTGACTTTTACAAAATGTAAAAAATGATGCTGTGTCATTTACAATCACTTCTAGCTCACTCTGTTTCAGGTGTTCCACCACAAGGTGTTTCAAGTGTTCCACCACAAGGTGTTCACGGTGTACCACCACAAGGTATTCATGGTGTACCACCACAAGGTGTTCATGGTGTACCACCACAAGGTGTTCAAGGTGTTCCACCACAAGGTGTTCAAGGTGTTCCTGGTACCTACACATATCCACAAGTGTTTTATCCAGTAAGTCTAAGCGTTCAATTTCTTCTTCTTTTTTATACAGTTATTTGCTGGTAGGAAAGCATTTTATGGGTATGGCAGACGATGGCTTTTCTGTTTCATTCAGTGGACCACCTACATTTTCATTTTTCTTACTTGATAAAAAAAATGTAACACTGCTTTTCAAAAATTTGAGAATCCCCAACATGTAACCAGTTCAAAATGTCTACCTATGAAGCATTTACTTGACCATACAGTTGTGTATGGTTACAGTGTGTGTTTTGATAATACAGTCAAACCTGTGTTAACGGCCACATGGATATAGCGGCCACCTGCCTATAGCGGTCACAACCGAACAGTCCCTACGAATTTTACATGTAAAGTACCCTGTTTACAGCGGCCACCTGCCTAACGCGGCCAACGGCCACGCTTCAGCGGCCGCAGTGAACAGTTGAACTGCATATAACGAACATAGTTCCCGGATGTCTTGCAGACTACTGCCTTCCACCTCAGACAACTAATAAGCTCACAAA